AGGAGAGGACTACATCTGATCAAGGAGAGGACTACATCTGATTAAGGAGAGGACTACTTCTGATCAAGGAGAGGACTACATCTGATCAAGGAGATGACTACATCTGATTAAGGAGAGGACTACATCTGATCAAGGAGAAGACTACATCTGATTAAGGAGAGGACTACTTCTGATCAAGGAGAGGACTACATCTGATCAAGGAGAGGACTACATCTGATTAAGGAGAGGACTACTTCTGATCAAGGAGAAGACTACATCTGATTAAGGAGAAGACTACATCTGATTAAGAAAAAGGACTACATCTGATCAAGAAGAAGACTACATCTGAATAAGGAGAGTACTACATCTGATCAAGAAGACTACATCTGATTAAGAAGAGGACTACATCTGATCAAGGAGAAGACTACATTTGAATAAGGAGAGGTACATCTGATCGAGAAGACTACATCTGATTAAGGAGAGGACTACATCTATTCAAGGAGAGTACTGCATCTGATTATGAGAAGACTACATCTGAATAAGGAGAGGACTACTTCTGATAAAGGAGAAGACTACATCTGATCAAGGAGAGGACTACATCTGATCAAGGAGAGGACTACATCTGATCAAGGAGAGGACTACATCTGATTAAGGTGAGGACTACTTCTGATCAAGGAGAGGACTACATCTGATCAAGGAGATGACTACATCTGATTAAGGAGAGGACTACATCTGATCAAGGAGAAGACTACATCTGATTAAGGAGAGGACTACTTCTGATCAAGGAGAAGACTACTTCTGATCAAGGAGAAGACTACATCTGATCAAGGAGAGGACTACATCTGATTAAGGAGAGGACTACTTCTGATCAAGGAGAAAACTACATCTGATTAAGGAGAAGACTGCATCTGAATAAGGAGAGGACTACATCTGATCAAGGAGAAGACTACATCTGAATAAGGAGAGGAGTACATCTGATCGAGAAGACTGCATCTGAATAAGGAGAGGACTACATCTGATCAAGGAGAAGACTACATCTGAATAAGGAGAGGATTACATCTGATCAAGAAGACTACATCTGATTAAGAAAAGGACTACATCTGATCAAGAAGAAGACTACATCTGAATAAGAAGAGGACTACATCTGATCAAGAAGACTACATCTGATTAAGAAGAGGACTACATCTGATCAAGGAGAAGACTACATTTGAATAAGGAGAGGAGTACATCTGATCGAGAAGACTACATCTGAATAGGGAGAGGACTACATCTATTCAAGGAGAGTACTGCATCTGATTATGAGAAGACTACATCTGATTAAGGAGAGGACTACTTCTGATAAAGGAGAAGACTACATCTGATCAAGGAGAGGACTACATCTGATCAAGGAGAGGACTACACCTGATTAAGGAGAGGACTACTGCTGATCAAGGAGAGGACTACTTCTGATCAAGGAGAGAACTACATCTGATTAAGGAGAGGACTACTTTCTGATCAAGGAGAAGACTACATCTGATTAAGGAGAAGACTACATCTGATTAAGGAGAGGACTACTTCTGATCAAGGAGAAGACTACATCTGATCAAGGAGAGGACTACATCTGATTAAGGAGAGGACTACATCTGATTAAGGAGAGGACTACTTCTGATCAAGGAGAGGACTACATATGATTAAGGAGAGGACTACATCTGAATAAGGAGATGACTACTTCTGATCAAGTAGAAGACTACATCTGATCAAGGAGAGGACTACATATGATCAAGGAGAGGACTACTTCTGATCAAGGAGAAGACTACATCTGATCAAGGAGAGGACTACATCTGATCAAGGAGAGGACTACATCTGATTAAGGAGAGGACTACTTCTGATCAAGGAGAGGACTACATCTGATCAAGGAGAGGACTACATCTGATTAAGGAGAGGACTACTTCTGATCAAGGAGAAGACTACATCTGATCAAGGAGATGACTACATCTGATTAAGGAGAGGACTACATCTGATCAAGGAGAAGACTACATCTGATTAAGGAGAGGACTACTTCTGATCAATGAGAGGACTACTTCTGATCAAGGAGAAGACTACATCTGATCAAGGAGAGGACTACATCTGATTAAGGAGAGGACTACATCTGATCAAGGAGAAGACTACATCTGAATAAGGAGAGGAGTACATCTGATCGAGAAGACTGCATCTGAATAAGGAGAGGACTACATCTGATCAAGAAGAAGACTACATCTGAATAAGGAGAGGACTACATCTGATCAAGAAGACTACATCTGATTAAGAAGAGGACTACATCTGATCAAGGAGAAGACTACATCTATTCAAGGAGAGTACTGCATCTGATTATGAGAAGACTACATCTGATTAAGGAGAGGACTACTTCTGATAAAGGAGAAGACTACATCTGATCAAGGAGAGGACTACATCTGATCAAGGAGAGGACTACATCTGATTAAGGAGAGGACTACTTCTGATCAAGGAGAGGACTACATCTGATCAAGGAGAGGACTACATCTGATTAAGGAGAGGACTACTTCTGATCAAGGAGAAGACTACATCTGATTAAGGAGAAGACTACATCTGATTAAGAAAAGGACTACATCTGATCAAGAAGAAGACTACATCTGAATAAGGAGAGGACTACATCTGATCAAGAAGACTACATCTGATTAAGAAGAGGACTACATCTGATCAAGGAGAAGACTACATTTGAATAAGGAGAGGAGTACATCTGATCGAGAAGACTACATCTGATTAAGGAGAGGACTACATCTATTCAAGGAGAGTACTGCATCTGATTATGAGAAGACTACATCTGAATAAGGAGAGGACTACTTCTGATAAAGGAGAAGACTACATCTGATCAAGGAGAGGACTACATCTGATCAAGGAGAGGACTACATCTGATCAAGGAGAGGACTACATCTGATTAAGGAGAGGACTACTTCTGATCAAGGAGAGGACTACATCTGATCAAGGAGATGACTACATCTGATTAAGGAGAGGACTACATCTGATCAAGGAGAAGACTACATCTGATTAAGGAGAGGACTACTTCTGATCAAGGAGAAGACTACTTCTGATCAAGGAGAAGACTACATCTGATCAAGGAGAGGACTACATCTGATTAAGGAGAGGACTACTTCTGATCAAGGAGAAAACTACATCTGATTAAGGAGAAGACTACATCTGAATAAGGAGAGGAGTACATCTGATCGAGAAGACTGCATCTGAATAAGGAGAGGACTACATCTGATCAAGGAGAAGACTACATCTGAATAAGGAGAGGATTACATCTGATCAAGAAGACTACATCTGATTAAGAAAAGGACTACATCTGATCAAGAAGAAGACTACATCTGAATAAGAAGAGGACTACATCTGATCAAGAAGACTACATCTGATTAAGAAGAGGACTACATCTGATCAAGGAGAAGACTACATTTGAATAAGGAGAGGAGTACATCTGATCGAGAAGACTACATCTGAATAGGGAGAGGACTACATCTATTCAAGGAGAGTACTGCATCTGATTATGAGAAGACTACATCTGATTAAGGAGAGGACTACTTCTGATAAAGGAGAAGACTACATCTGATCAAGGAGAGGACTACATCTGATCAAGGAGAGGACTACACCTGATTAAGGAGAGGACTACTGCTGATCAAGGAGAGGACTACATCTGATCAAGGAGAGGACTACATCTGATTAAGGAGAGGACTACTTCTGATCAAGGCGAAGACTACATCTGATTAAGGAGAAGACTACATCTGATTAAGGAGAGGACTACTTCTGATCAAGGAGAAGACTACATCTGATCAAGGAGAGGACTACATCTGAATAAGGAGATGACTACTTCTGATCAAGTAGAAGACTACATCTGATCAAGGAGAGGACTACATCTGATCAAGGAGGACTACATCTGATTAAGGAGAGGACTACTTCTGATCAAGGAGAGGACTACATCTGATCAAGGAGAGGGACTACATCTGATTAAGGAGAGGACTACATCTGAATAAGGAGATGACTATTTCTGATAAAGACTACATTTGAAAAAGGAGAGAGATACTTTTAATAAAGGAGATGACTACTGATATAGAAGGGGACTACCTCTAAGATAGGAGAGAACTACTTCTTCTAAAAGATAGGACTACTGTTATTAATGAAGAGGACTGCTGCCAATGAAGAAGATGATTACTTCTGACATAAGAGAGGACTATTTCTCTTAAGAGAGAGGAGTTCTTCTAGTAAAGCAGATGCCTACTTCTGATATAGGAGAGGGCTACTTCCACTAAAAGATAGGACTACTTTTTTTTTTAATTGCCAATAAAGGAGAGGATATTTGTCCAAGACTCAAGAAGTTCCAGCTGATGAACTGATACACAAAGTTGAGAGGTAAGACTAGTACACAAATCTAAATGAAAGGTAAAGAGGAGACAAAAACTATATTTAAACCATATCTAAACCCAAGAACAAAATTAGAATATGTTGAAGTTTAAATTTACCATTCCTTGGATGTGTCAATGTGGTGGCTGCATTCATTTTCTTTTCTTTTTTTAGACATTTTTCTTTTATGTTCCCCTGGTTATTCTCCCAGTAACACACTTCCAGTCCTAGGGTGACAACATTCACTCGCTGTACTGTATGTATGGAGGAGCAATGCTTTCATCCTAGGAAAGACCTACGGAACACCTCCCCTTCCTCATTTTCAGAACATAGTATGTAGGTGTTTTGGAGCTTTCAGAGAAAGCTGTGAACAGTGTAACTAAGAAGAGCATGGGTAGAAAAAATAGAAAGTTTAATCTCGTAAGATTTTCAGCAGGTCATCAGCTTTTTTTGCACTTAGTGAATAGATATAGCAAAACACTTTCAATGCAATATTTAACATCATTCATCATTAACGTTTTCATTCACATTAAAAATCAGCATTATACTATGGGACTTCCCTTAGTTCCATATCTTTCATGTGTTGATGCCATATTATGGGGCAAGCAACTGCATAGTAGTCTGGGACTCACCAGTGATGAAATTAGATCTGGAGATGGACAGTCCATACTGCTGCTCCATGTATTTCGGTTTGTACGTTATGAAGCCAATGAAGCTGTTCACTTGCAGCAATGTCATGGCCATCAGCAGGATATATAGATGGTTACACGCCAGCTTTTTCAGTGCCTGGATGAATCCTAGAAGGAAGGCACACAAAGGGTTAATGCCCAACTCCAAGCTATTTTTTTATGTCCTGTAGCAAGCAGTTTAAAGTATAATTCTGTTTTGAACAGAGTGCAGAGGGATAAGACACCTATGTTTTTTTTATTGCTCTCTTTGCCCCCTTTAGGAAAAGTCACCCTCTCTATTTGTCCAGTTTACCATTATTGTTGAAAGTGAAAGTAAAATAAAATCCCAAATTCTTGATTGTCTCTATAAAAGTAATAGAGGGGAAATCTATCAATGGGGCACTTGTTCTGGTGACCTGGGGGTCTTCAAGAAAATCCATTAGTTTGCAGGGATTTCCTTTCACTTCCTGTTTTGCCTATGGACACAAATGGCGAAAAAAAAAATAAAATGACAATGATTATTACCTTCCCTTACTCTATCCAAAATTTAAAAAAAATGTTTTGCCTATACTTCCACTTTAAGGTTGAAATGCTTGTTTTTATCTGGGGCTGTCCACCATAGTATTTTTTCTTTGCTACAAGATGTCCTCGGTCTTCTGGTTTGAATGACTCTCAGCATCACTTAGTCAGTGCAGGGTATCATATCCCCCTGTTCGAGCACAGCGCCCAGTACTCACAGTGTATTGATGTAATGGATGATGCAGTGGTACTTTCTGCATCATCCAGAACCTCTTGCTGCTTGCAGAAGACCGAGGAAGAAGAGAACAAATAGAGTCACATGGCCACCCAGAAGACATCAGAAAAGAGTAAATAAAAAAGTGGTCTGCTCACCTTTCATTGTTGCCTTTTTCTGAGGCTCTAGCCTTTCCTTGTCTTTAAATGTCAGTATGTCAGGAGATTTCTGTCCCTCTGGCCTCTTCATACTCTTTGGCAGAAAGAAAAAAGGAATGGCCGCCAGCAGACTGACTATCCCCGCAACCAAGAATCCCATCCACCAGGCACCCACCCAGCGTGTGTCCTGCGGGGAGATGGTCACTTCATCTGCAAGAGGAACATTGACTGGTAGAAGTGTTTGTTCAACCTGATGCTGCCATTCAAATATTACTGTCATTACACTTTAAGATTGGCATTTTATTTCTGACAATTTTTTCTGAACAGGAGCTGGAAATGTATCCCATGTGATACTTTTATTATCATTACTTAAAGCAGAATTCCAATCAAAATGTAAAAAAAATAAAAGTCAGCAGCTACAAAAATTGTAGCTGCTGACTTTTAAAATACAGACACTCACCTGTCCCACGATCCCACGGTGTTCTCACTGCAGCCGGTTTCACCACCCATCCGCACTCCCTGACGCCAGCATCTTAAGTGTGGGCACCCAGCTGTGACAGCTTAAGGCTTCACAGCCAGGTGTCCATTGCACATGTGAAAGTAGCGCTGCACCTTGTGATTGGTCCCATAGTCTTCTGGAACCTGTCATGTGTCCCAGAAGACTACAGGGAAGGAGGGGAAGGCAAGGGCCTAGGCGATGCAGGAGTGGGAGTACATGTAAAATCGGATACCCTTCCCCCCCCCCCATTCCCCAAAGGCCAATCCATAATGTGAAGTGGGGTTAAAGCCTTAAAGCGGTGGATTTTCCCCTTTTGGGTAGAGCTCCACTTTAATGTCTTGTAAATGTTAAATTCAATAGTATATTTAACTGAAACAAACACACTTTTGGGGAAAGTGATTTTTTTTTAATTCTGATCCCAAAATTGTTGTGTATAAGTGTTGAAACTATATTACATGACTTTCCCTATCCTTGTGAGCAAGCCAGGAGTGGTGAAACACATTACGGATGGTTGTTGTTTGGGTGGGAGACATTACTGTATGCAGTCAGTTCATCAGTTCTTAAAGTGGAGTGCAGCTGACATTCTTTCATATTCTTAATATAGAGTGAAGGTGGACTACAATGGCCAACACCCAAGATTTCTATGCATGAGAGAGGCCAGTCTTGAGCAGGGCTAACAATCTGTGTATATTACATATGTCCTCATTAATGAGAATGAGAATTAGTGTTACCATTCTGTGACTTCAGTGCCTTACACTCACCCATATCCACAAAGCCAACATCAACGTAGAGTTTGGCAAAGAAGGAACCCAATGTGAACCCGATCATCGGCCCAAACAGGCCCACTGCATGAAGAAAAGCTATGGGACAGAAATAAAAAAATTGGTAAACACTGTCTGCACCAGCAGATAAAATATAACTATTTAAAAAATCATAATAAGCAGGAAAATAAATAAAAGACATTTTAGGTCTTTCTTCATTCCTGTACATGCGCAGGTGTGCATTCATCCCAGGGCATATGCACTATCCTGGAATGTAAACTGAGCTGCACATGCGCAGCCCAGTGTACACTCTACAAAAGACTGAGAGAAAGCATGTAGATTTATTTTATTGCAGAACAGACATTGCACATATGCACACAGATTTTTTCTATTTTAGACTTTAGTTCTGCTTTAGCAACTGTTTTATGCGGTATATACAGTATGCTATTTCTTTTCTAGTACTGAAAAATACAAATGTAAGTTTTTTCTAGTCAGGGAAATAGAAAATATTACATATACATATTTTATATTTTCTTTTTAGCCTGCAAGTTGTTGGCCTTGCTTTACAAAGATCAATAGCTCGAGCTAAACAGTGACTTTACCCATTTCTTCCATATATATTAGCTTGAATTTTCAATCAGAGTGCCTAAAAGGAGACACCTGCTGCTGTATCCTCTCATTGGAAAACCCTGAGTGTTCTGAGAATCCTGTGTTATTACAGATGCTCCCTGTATTACCCACATGGGAAAAAAATACAGTATATTTGAAATATATTTGAAAAATATTCTTCCCAAATATATTGACATATATTTGAAATACTACAGTTGTGGCCATATTCAATATATTTCAAAATATATTTCAATAAATATATATATATCTATATATTTACTGCATGTTGAAATGTGTTTTTATTACAAAATATATGAAAAATATTTTTGAAAATACATTTCAAATATACTGTTTGACTTTAAAATATAAAAATCTACATTTTTGGTATGCATTTACAAATATATGTAAAAATATGTTAAAATTACTTTTTTATATGTTAAAAAAAATCTGAAGAATATATTTTAAAAAAGTATATTTTTAAAAATAGGTTTCATATATTTTGTAATATATAAAAAACGCATTTCAACATGCAGTGTATTATATATATATATATATATATATATATATATATATATTATTATATATATATATATTTTTAATATGGCCAAAATTGTAGTATTTCAAATATATGTCAATATATTTGGGAAGAATATTTTTCAAATATATTTCAAATATATTTTTCTTCCATATGGGTAAAAGGTTAGTAAACAACAATTCTAAGGGGTTGATTTCCTAAAGGTAAATATACTGTGCACCACAAGTGCACCTGCAAATGCAGTTGCTTTATATCCAAGGAGAAGCTCTCAAATGAGGCAAAGCTCTGGTGTTTTCTTTCATCCAATCATGTGCAAGCAAAAATGCTGTGTTTTATTTTCCTTGCATGTTCCCTTCAGATCAAGAGCAATTGCACTTTCAATGCACTTCCAAGTGCACTTGCAGTGCACCGCCTATTTGCCTTTAGTAAATTAACCCCTAAGTCTCCATTCACATTATCACAATTTTGACATCGTGACTTTCATGCAATTCTGCATGTGGCATGGAGCAGCCCATTCACTTAAACTGGTTGCACTATATGCGTTTGTTGTCCGAAAAGAAGCTCCTGCTGCTTTTCAGGTGAAAGCTTCACACAAATTGTGAAAGTGCGGTCTGCTGCGTGACAATCGCGGCAGAATCATATTGTGTATGGGGTGCCATTAAAGGATAATGGCAGTCAAACGCCTGCAGCACGTTGTGCAGCAATTGCCACGTGATTTGAGACTGCAGGCAGAATCACAGCAATTCTGCTCTTGATCCCAAATCACGAGATGTGGATGGGGCCTGAAATGGATCAAGTTTAAGAAACAGATTAAGGGTTCATTCACATCAGATGCGGTGAAACTGCAGCTATTCCAGCACATTCCCACTGCATGACTAGGAAAAATGCCTTTTCTCCTTTTCTGCCTAGTTCACAATGCTGCGTTCCAGTGGCGTGAGGGAGGTGTGTGCTGAAAAAGTACTATGTGCAGTACTTTTTTCAGTGAGGCAATCCACTGTCACAGGGTGACCAAGTGAACTTTATGAATTCTTTCTGTGACATTTCAGTACAGTTTCGTTAAAAATAAAGATGAACAGAGCGATCTGTCTAGATCAGCTCATCAGCACTGTGTTGATCCGGACAGACCGCACACCAGCTGCTGCATTGTAACAGAACTGCTGGTGTGAACATACCCTGAGAACATATTGAGCCCAAACCAGGGGCAGCTGACCATTTGGAAACTGGGGCACTGCGCGAGGGCCCGGGGTTAGTAGGGGGCCCCATGAGATGCCCCTGGTACCTTTTTCATAGGCTTTTTTGAGTTTGGGCAAGGACACAGGGGCCCCATGAACCCCTATTGCCCGGGGGCCCCATGAGTTGTTTGTCCGCCCCTGGCCCAAACCATTATAGCTTCCCTTTAAGGCATAGGATTACTTATCTAGTCTGCTGTGGAATTATTTAAGTTCTGTATTTATATAACGCATAGAAGCAGGAAAGGATTTTACACAAATAGAGAGCTGTGTTTTCAGTTCCAGCAAAATCATCAATGTATGAAATTCCCAGCGGGGTAATGGGAGTCTCTCCAATTCCACGCAGCATGTTCCCAATTAAGATGTACACCCACATGTAGTTGGTTTCCTTGGCACAATCTGAAATACAATATAACAACAAGATTGAGAATGGGAGGGGCCATAAACCTTAGTGAAAGCATCTCTTGACTACTGGAAGCTTAGTAAAAGGTTATTGGATGCTTACTGTGCTATGATATCTGAATATGCAATCAAGTGGACATTATTGACTTTTTTCTCTTAAAGTGGTTGTAAACCCTTACATACATATACCCAATGAAGTGACTGGCCTCAGTTGATACAGAGATGAAACAAATCCCCCTCCATAAGTTGTACCTGCTTATCTGCAGTGTTCTCTTCTCTACATCTGTTCAAAGACCACAGTTTATAAAGTTTTCTCCGAGATTTCAGAAAAAAAGGGGATGGAGAGCAGAAAGCTCTGCAAAGCTCAGTGAGGAGAACTCAGAGAGCTGATTGGAGAGAAGAGACACACCCCCCATTCACACAGCTCACAGGAACAGAGCTGAGGCTGTCAAACAGCTGGAGCTTCCTCCTGTCACCTTTTTTTTCTTTTGGTATCAGGAAAACTTGTCAGAAGTGATTCGTAACTAGAAATACTGTGCTGCGCTAAACAAAATAATTATAGTGCAAAGACTGGTGAAAGACCAAAAACGCTATTTAACCCCTTCACGCCTAAGGGTAAAATAAATTTTAATGCCTAAGCACAATTTTGCAACTTTGACATGTGTTAGTAAAACCGTACATATCATCACAACTACATTGAACTTCCAGGTGAATTATACCTTGTTTTTTTCAGGACAACTTGGGCTTTCAATTGGTGGTAAATTGTATTGGATATCTACTGATTTTTTTTATTATCAAAAGAAAATTGGCCCAAAATAGCAAAGAAAAAATCATTTTTTAAAATTTAGCTGTGTTTCTTGTTACTACCATAACCTACCACCAAAGAACAACCCAAAATACATTTTCCAGCTCTTGACGATCACAGTGATACCATATATGTGTATGCTATTTGTTGTATGTACCTGTACTACAGCCCAGAAACCATAACGCACATTTTGTTTTTTGTTTTTTTACCTAAAACACACTGACATTGACTGACACCAATTGAAAAAAAAAAATCCTGACCTTTGACTCTGACCTTTGACCTTTGACCCTGGCCTTGACCCAAACACTAACCCAGACACTGAACTAGATCAAACCTTGATCTAGGAATTTTTTATTTATTTTTTGTATTTTTATTTTTTTTAACAGTTTTTTGTTCTGTATGCAGGGAGAGAGAGTGTATACAATGTATCTCCCCCCCCCCCCAATTCAGAGAGAAAAAAACCAAGAGGGGCAGGCTGTACAGTGGTCACTGTGATAGCCAATCAGAGGCTATCATAGCGCTCATGTCGATTGTTAGAACGGGATCCGGGGCTCTCAGTGACACCCCGGTCTTTGTGCTGGGAGCGCACTGTGTGGCGTTCTCCCAACACAAAGACAGGTACGCAAATATGCGGCCCCATGGAAAAAAGCCCAATTCTGTGAGGCTGCATATTTGTGTTACGTTGGCATCATGGGGTCAACATTAAAAAACACAAAACATAGGAAAGTGAGAAAATGTCCACTTGTAACTCAGAATCCATGTGATGATCCCATTCTTCAGTGGAAAACCAAATGAATCAGTGCATCCTCCATGAGTGTAATAAACTGTCACTAAAAAAATGAATGTATGAAGGCTTACAAAGTTTGATGACCTCCTAAATTAATAGAAAGGTCATAATTCACATGAACAGAAGATCTCTGGCAGACTGTGGAACACACAACTTGATAGTAGATCAGATGCAAAACTATCCAAAGAAGTTAGATCAGGGATTCTCAACCAGGGTTCCATGGAATGTTAATTTTCCTCCAGAGGTTGCTAGGGCTTCCTTGAGGTATGAGTAATTTCTGCCTGTCCGATAAGTTCCCACTGACACCATTGATCATTTTAGTTATCTGTAAAGGAGTAATTGTTTCCAATGACCCCAAGTGTAAGGAACTTTCATCCCACTGACCATCACACTAATGTATCATGAGTTGTAGATATAGTAATTTTTAACTGGGGGGTTTCCTGAGACTAGAAAATTATTTCAATGGTTCCTCTGTGTTGAAAAGGTTGAGAAAGGCTGTGCTAGATTACTCTCGCATTAAGAGTAAAGAACACCCTTTGGGCCAACTGACAGGACTTCTGCTGGTGCCAGACTCACTTGAACTTGCCACTCAAAAAAAGCATAAAAGGAGACCCATGCTCCACATAGTGTGACCCACATACCACAATTTTATTACAAACTAGAACCTGCACTCACACGTAGAACAGGCAGATGCAGCGCTGTATAATCACATCAACATGAAGGACACATCCAGATCGTGATGAGATCATGTTTGTGGCCCCGCCCTAATGTGTTTCATCAAATACACCATATTGCCAAAAGTGGTGAACTTTAATGGCATCCCATTCTTAGTCCGTAGGGTTCAATATTGAGTTGGCCCACCCTTTGCAGCTGTAACAGCTTCAACTCTTCTGGGAAGGCTGTCCACAAGGTTTAGGAGTGTGTCTATGGGAATGTTTGACCATTCTTCCAGAAGTGCATTTGTGAGGTCAGGCATTGATGTCGGAAGAGAAGGCCTGGCTGCAGTCTGTAATCTAATTCATCCCAAAGGTGTTCTATTGGATTGAGGTCAGTCAAGTTCCTCCACCCCAAACTCGCTCATCCATGTCTTTATGGACCTTGCTTTGTAGACTGGTGCGCAGTCATGTTGGAACAGGAAGGGACCATCCTCAAACTGTTTCCACAAAGTTGGGAGCTTGAAATTGTCCAAAATGTCTTGGTATGCTGACGCCTTAAGAGTTTTCTTCACTGGAACTGAAGGGCAAAGCCCAACCCCTGAAAAACAATCCCACACCATAATCCCCTCTCCACCAGACTTTACACTTGGCACAATGCAGTTAGGCAAGTACTGTTCTCCTGGCAACAGCCAAACCCAGACACGTCCATTGGTTTGCCAGACAGAGAAAGGTGATTCATCACTCCAGAGAACATGTCTCCACTGCTTTAGAGTCCAGTGGCAGCGTGCTTTACACCACTGCATCTGTCGCTTTGCATTGCACTTGGTGAGGTATGGCTTGGATGCAGCTGCTCGGCCATGGAAACCCATTCCATGAAGCTCTCTACACACTGTTGTTGTGCTAATCTTAAGGCCACATGAACTTTGGAGATCTTTAGCTATTGACTCTGCAGACGGTGACTTCTGTGAAATGTGCGCTTCAGCATGCGCTGACCCCGCTCTGTCATTTTACCTGGCCTACCACTTGGTGGCTGAGTTGCTGTTGTTCCCAGTTGCTTCCACTGTGTTATAATACCACTAACAGTTGGCCGTGGAATCTTTAGTAGCAAGAAAATGTCACGGATGGTCTTATTGCACAGGTGGCCACCTATCACGGTACCACACTTAATTTCACTGAGCTCCGAGAGCGACCCATTCTTTCACAAATGTTTGTAGAAGCAGTCTGCATGCCTAGGTGATGATTTTATACACCTGTGGACATGGAGGTGATTGGAACACCTGAGTCCAATGATTTAGAGGGGTGTCCAAATACTTTTGCCAATATAGTGTATGGCATTCTCAAAGGATTCACACAGAAGAAATTCATGCTGAGAGCAGAGGAACAAAGGAGCAGACAGAACTGACATTTAGTGCTCTTAATTTAGACAAGTACACACTATAAAGGGATATGCTTTCTTCATATTTCATGTCTTAAGTTTTACAACCACTTTAAGCAAATTGGTAGAGGGGCCAGTTCAGTTGGTACAAAGAGTATTTTCCAAGTTCCCATTTCTCTCACCCTACTTTCTTGTTGTTTTCATTTTTATTGGTGAGGTTTACTTTAGCAGTGATCAAATGAGTTCATATTGATCCCATTAGTGGAATCTGGGCAGTCGGATGTCTGACAACTTTTGGTTAGGACAGCCTTTAAACTCTGGGAGCTCACAGGTCAGCTGTGACTGGTGCAGGCTTTGTTATCCTCTGGAAATTCCTTGTTGTTTGCCATTATGCTTGATATACGTATGCTGTGTAAAATCAATAAAGCGTGGCCTTGCCCTCCCACAATAAACAGTTTTAGTGTATTTATTGGGATGAGGTAAGGCAAGGTGCTTTTATATTTGGTACCTTTGTTACTTTATGACACTTGAGTTTCTTAACATTTATTGTTCACAGCTCAATGTATACACTTCTGGTGTGAAAATATTATTATAATTCAGATATACTCCAGATAACAGTAATGAAACAAAATTATCTGGAAAAAAGTTAACACAAAATGTTTCCTCCTAATTCATAACCAATAACAATAACATAAACCACCAGGGGGCATCAATGTTGGCACATATTGCTGATTTATCCTGAATTTGAATGAATACACAGTTCAGTCCTCTTTGTCTCAACTATCCTGACAGCTTTAGGAATTGGAAAACACTCCTATAAAATGACTATGTATATAGTTCAGGCTCTAGTATCCCAGGCTCTGCAGTGAGATCTCTTACCGACATTCGGGGGTGAGAGAGGTATCTGATTGGACATACACGGTGAAACGCTTCCTGTGAAATTGCTGAGTGACGATGCGGGATGAGCCCTTACCGATTCATATTTATACCTATGAAAACACAAAGATATCAGTTACCACCTTCCCAACCAAAATGACCCTTATCGCACACAACACAGGCCTATGATGGTTATCACATACGGTCCCATGAAGAAGTGCGGCATGGCAGTGAGGAAACTCCCCACTGACATCACAAGACAGCCTATTGCGATGATCCGCGGTCGGTGCAGCTTGGCCCCAAAATAGCTGACGAAGGCGATCACCAGTAAATTTCCTGATGGCAGACAACACAAGGGATTAGCACAGTATTAAAGAGCAAATCGTTATAGAATAACAGCACTATCAGATGTTTACCAATCTCAAAACTTCCATCCACCATACCGACTGTGGAGGAGGAGAGGTCAAAACGACGCTCAATCTGCGTAATGGAACTTTTCATGTAACTCCCTGAAAATGCTTTTGCGAAGTATGTGAAGCAAAGGGCAGTCAGGAACATCTGAAATATGGAAGAGATGTTAGGACATTTATCTTCCAATAGGAGTTGTGAATAAACTAAATAAACTATCAGCAGGTTGGTAAGTATTAATATCACTGCCAGACATTTAGAAGAAGCAAAGTGATTACAATCAAACCTATCTTGCAGCAAATTTTCAGATTTCAGATTTGCTGAAATTTCAAAGAAAATAGCCTACAATTTCCCTATATTTTCTGCCTACTCAAAGTTTGTTTGAAAATAAAGTGTAACTTCAAGAAAACTTCCCATTTTCCTTTGCAATTAAGTTTCTTTTTATTTTTCTGCATTTTGTATTGGTTTGTATATATATATATATATATATTTATATACAGTATCTCCCAGAAGTGAGAACACCCCTCACATTTTTGTAAATATTTTATCATATCTTTTCATGTGACAACACTGAAGAAATGACACTTTGCTACAATGTAAAGTAGTAGTGAGTGTACAGCTTGTATAACAGTGTAAATTTGCTGTCCCCTCAAAATAACTCAACACACAGCCATTAATGTCTAAACCGCTGGCAACAAAAGTGAGTACACCCCTAAGTAAAAAACTTTTGAGGGGACAGCAAATTTACACCGTTATACAAGCTGTACACTCACTACTTCACATTGTAGCAAAGTGTCATTTCTTCAGTGTTGTCACATGAAAAGATATAAAATATTTACAAAAATGTGAGGGGTGTACTCACTTCTGGGAGATACTGTATATATATATATATATATATATATATATATATATATATATATATATATACACATATTAAGCTCTTATGTAAGCTGTTACAAGCAGGGCCCTCTTAACCCTCTGTATTTTATTATATTATAACTGTACTATGTCCCTGTATTTTGTAAAGTGCTACATAAAATGTTGGAGCATTATAAATCCTGCATAATAGTAATAATAATACTATATAGTAACAGTACAATATATTTGTGTTTTTCCCCTTTTGCCTAATGTATTATTTAATTCTTAATAGAAATAAATGTGTTTTAAACTCTTTTCTTTTAATAATATACTTTTTCCACTTTTTTCTTTCTTGACAAAAATCAAATAGTCACATAGGTGTGAATCCAGCTTAAAGGAACTTTGGTAACTCTCAGAAACGATATGAAAGACTATTGCACTCTCAAGAATGAAAGTCATTGCAGCTAGCCAGTCCTTAGATGTGGTGGCTCTATTAGTTTTCTTTTTTTTCAGGCTAAATACACTTTCTGCAAGTAAAGAAAAAAATACCTGTTGTGCTTAAAAGAATCCAGTGTCCTCGTCATTGTCTGCGCACCTGTGTTAACACGTTTTTTTTTTTTCACATCAACATGCATTGCATTTAAGGCAGCTCATTCAAATGGATGGGCTGGTAACTCACCAAAACATCCAGAAAAATAGCTGACATTAACCATTTTTGGCAATGTGGTGCACCACAATGCACATTATTGTGTTGCCCTGCAATGTGGTGCGCTGTATGTTTTGGAGCTGTGTTGTCTTAGTGTGTTGGTGTGCCATTTAAAATGAATGGCACCACAATGCATCATAATGCGGAATGCCTCAACGCACCAAAGTGAACGTGTGTTTCAACCCCTTACTCTTTTGTTCCGTGGGTTACATTTTAGCCTTTAGTGTTTAGGAATATTCATTAAGCAAGGTTACTGTTACATTTTAGGTTCAGGTTGGGACAAAGTTTACATATTAGGGTCATCCTAGGGGTCAGGAAGTGTAGGTGATATTTTTTGAAACACTTGTTCTCAGTGCCAAACTTTGACTTTGAAGATTTTATAAACCTTTTTACTACAAAAACTACCCAGACAGTGACAATAATCAGGACTGAACTGTACCATTACGGAAATGGGGTGCTAAACTGCCTCGCTCTTATATTTTTTCTATTTTCCTTGTATTGGCTTCATCCACCTTGGCATATTAGATAGTTATAATTATAATAAAGGATATATACTGTTTTGTAGCTATAAAATAAAGAATGGTATTGCCTCTTTTTTCCCTTATAGGGATTTTCCAGCAGAGCATTACTTGCTTTGGCTGATACCCTTCAGTAAGAACCATCAGGCTGACATGACATACAACTAACTATTCATAGATCTACACATTTGTAATCTCACTTCTCTTTCTGCAGTCGTGCTGGGGTCTCCTGATCCCATGGGCACCTGGACAGCAATATCCCAAGGAAAATCAAGTGATGGAGTCTGTCCTTTATTTCCTCTATTGGCAGCAATATGACAGAGGGCAGATTATAGAAGTAATCAATTGTCTTTATTAGTTGGAAATTACACATTATCTGCCCTCTGACAGATTAATTATTATCCTGATCTACATCCTACCTCTTCATCCTATCAAAGTCAAACAAACTCTCGAACTGCTGACCTCTGAGCTGGATTCCAATACACGTGTGGGTCTGATGTGTAAAGAACACAGAGCTCTGTACAAAGGTGGATGATGTGGCATGGCAGTAAAAAACAAATAATAATTTAAAAAATATATATATTATATATATATATATATATATATATATATATACACACACACACACAGTATATAAAATATATAAAAATATATATATATATATATATATATTATATTGCCAAAAGTATTGGGACACCCCTCCAAATCATTGGATTCAGGTGTTCTAATCCCCTCCATAGCCACAGGTGTATACAATCAAGCCCCTAGGCATGCAGACTGCTTCTACAAGCTTTTGTGAAAGAATGGGTCGCTCTCGGAGCTCAGTGAATTCAAGCGTGGTACCGTGATAGGTTGACACCTGTGCAATAAGTCCATCCATAAAATATCCTTGCTACTAAATATTCCATGGTCAACTGTTAGTGGTATTATAACAAAGTGAAAGCAGCTGGGAACAACAGCAACTCAGCCAAAAAGTGGTAGGCCACATAAAATGACAGAGCGGGGTCAGCACATGCCGAAGTGCACAGTGCTCAAAAGTTACCAACTGTCTGCAGAGTCAATAGCTGAACCTCCAAAGAAGACCTTCAGATTAGCACAACCACAGTGTGTAGAGAGCTTCATGGAATGGGTTTTCATGGCCAAGCAGCTGCATGCAAGCCTTACATCACCAAGTGTAATGCAAAGCATCGGATGCAATGGTGTAAAGCATGCCACCACTGGACTCTAGAGCAGTGGAAACGTGTTCTTTGGAGTGACAAATCACCCTTCTCTGTCTGGCAATCCTATTGACTTGTCTGGGTTTGACTGTTGCCAGGAGAACAGTACTTGCCTGACTACATTGTGCCAAGTGTAAAGTTTGGTGGAGGGGGGATTATGATGTGTGGTTGTTTTTCAGGGGTTGGGCTTGGCCCCTTAGTTCCAGTGAAGGGAACTCTTAAGGCGTCAGCATACCAAGACATTTTGGACAATTTCAATGATCCCAACTTTGTGGAAACAGTTTGGGGATGGTCCCTTCCTGTTCCAACATGACTGCACACCAGTGCACAAAGCAAGGTCCATAAAGACATGGATGGGTGAGTTTGCAGTGGAGGAACTTTATTGGCCTGCACAGAGTCCTGACCTCAACCTGGTATAACACCTTTGAGATGAATTAGAGGCTAGACTGCGAGCCAGCCCTTCACGTCAGACATCAGTGCCTGACCTCACAAATGCACTTCTGGAAGAATGGTCAAACATTCCCATAGACACACACCTAAACCTTGTGGACAGCCTTCCCAGAAGAGTTGAAGCTGTTATAGCTGCAATGGGTGGGCCAACTCAATATTGAACCCTACAGATTAAGACTGGGATGCCATTAAAGTTCATGTGCCATGTGCGTGTAAAGGCCGGCGTCCCAATATAAGAGAGAGAGCACATCTGCTGTACCAGATAGGTGGGAGTGAGGCTATGAAGATGAAAATGATCAGACTGCTGATCTGTGTGATCTCAAATATGTTTTTATATTTTTTGTGCAGTGCTTTAGCAGCACTTGGGTTGCATTTATCAGAAATGCTTTGTGTGTCTGCACTGAATTTTCTGAGGACAAACAATGTCGATTGTAATACCATGTGTTGTCTGTGAATTAAAGTAGTAAAAAACCTTTTTTAATTGTGGATAGAGTAAAGGAATTATAACCCCTGTCAGTTTATTTTTTGCCATCTGTCTGCCAGATGGGGAAATTTTACCATCACTTCTTGTCCCATAGCCAAAAACAGGTGGTAAGAAAATCTCTGTAAATTAAGGGAATTCCTTGGTGATCCCCAGATCACCAGAACTAGTGTCCCCATTGGAATATATGCCCTCTATTACGTTTCTGGGGACAACACAAATTTTGGGGTTTCTTTTACTTTCAATTATAATGATAAACAAGACAAATAGAGAGGGTGAATCTCCCTAATAGGGGCACAGGTAACAATAAAAACTGACAGGTGTTCTAATCCATCTCCACTCTGTCCAAAACTAAAAAAAAAAATTGCCTTTATTTATACTTCAAATGTGTTTCTGTAGATATAGCTTTACCTTCACTGTGCTACAACATGAGCTTTTCTGACTGTCTGGTGGCACATTTTGCTCCGCACATGCAGGCTTGGTGGTCAAGTTATTTTGTTCATCGTCGTCTTTTTCTACTGCCATCTTGTATGACTTGCCTGCAAGTGACAAATTATAAAAATTAGTGAAAGACATCCCAAACAAATCAAACAGCTACTGGAAATTTATAGCCAAATATTTTGTGAAAAAAAAGAATTGAAGAAAGAATATTCAAGTTGTGAGCACAGATAAATCTGTCACCTTCTTGAGTATATTAGTGAAATTATATTTTCAACGGTCAGGTTACCATGTTTCCAAAACAAGGAAATAAAACTTTTTTTATGTTAGTTGTAGCCTACAATAAACCTTTTAGCAGAAATTGACCACATTTCCTCATCCTTCAGTCTGCTGCTCATGTGGCTGATAGACCATTCTTGGTTAGGATTCACATAAGCTGCACAAAGATTATACATGAGTATACAGGCAAATATTATTACTAT